ACTATCTACTCTACGGGAACATTCATTCTTTGCAAAAAAATCTAAATGGATGTTTGCCAAAGATACAATCCAGTTTTTAGGTCACATCATTTCAGGGAAAGGACTGGCCCCTGATCCAGAAAAAATTAGTTCAATTACAAATTGGACTAAACCTACAACTGTGACCCAAGTACGCGCATTCCTAGGTTTGGCTGGTTACTACAGACGTTTCATTAAGAATTTTGCTTCAATAGCTGCTCGTCTAAGTGATCTAACTTCCAAGGCGGGATTTAATTGGGGTACAAAGGAAGACTCTGCTTTCGACAAGTTGAAAGAACTACTCACTACAACACCTATTTTAATACTTCCGGATTTCACAATTCCTTTTATATTAGAGGCGGATGCTTCTGGTGTTGGTATCAGTGCTGTTCTCATGCAAAATGATTGCTCAATTGCCTATTACAGCCGAAAATTATCCCCAACAATGCAAAAGAAGTCAACCTACATACGCGAAATGTTTGCTATCACTAGCGGCGTTTCTAAATGGAGGCAATACCTACTAGGAGCTTCATTTGTCATTCGCACGGATCATAAAAGCCTTTACCTCTTGATGAACCAAGTGGTGCAAACTCCGGAGCAGCAACAATTCCTATCACAACTCTTGGGATTTTCATACACCATTGTCTACAAATCAGGCAAAACAAATGCAGCAGCAGATGCCTTGTCCCGAATTCCAGAAGAGGACAGCAACTTACCCTCTTCCCAGCTAGCAACAATCACAGGCCCAACATGCAACTTCACAGACATATTACAGCAGGAATTAAATGAGGACGCTTACACTATTACAGTCATCCAGGGCATTATTACAGAACCAAATGAATGGAAGGACTGGAAATTTAAAAAAAAATTGCTGTTCCATAAAAGCAGAATCTTCATTCCAGCAAATTCCTCATTGAAGAACACGTTGCTCCACGAGTTTCACAGTTCCTTGCAAGGAGGACATTCTGGGATCCAAAACACCTACCTGCGCATGAACAAAACATTTACATGGAAAGGAATGAAGAGAGATGTTAAGAACTTTGTCCAACAGTGTGAGATTTGTCAGAAAATCAAACCACAAAATCACTCCCCCTATGGCCTACTGCAACCTATCACACCCCCAAACACCATTTGGACGGATTTATGCATGGACTTCATTACCCATTTACCTAACTCTAACGGCTTTACTGTTATCTTTGTGATTGTGGACAGGTTATCAAAAGGAGGCCATTTCGTACCCTTAACCGCAAACTTCACCGCGGTAAAAGTTGCAAACGCATTCTGGGAGTCAGTCGGCAAACTCCATGGTTTTCCAAAAACCATCATCTCCGACCGTGACCCTATTTTTCTTAGCAACTTCTGGAAAGCAATGTTTGCCCTCCAAGGTACTCACTTGCGGTACAGCTCAGCATATCACCCACAAAGCGACGGACAAACAGAACATGTTAATAGATGTTTGGAGCAATACCTGCGAGCATTTGTCCACGATAATCCAAAAACATGGTCCAGGATCTTAAGCTTTGCAGAGTTTCATTTCAATACATCATTCAACAGATCCACAGGATTCACACCGTTTGAAGTAACGTTTGGTATTCCTCCTCCGAATCTGTTAACGTACTGTCTCGGAACGAGCAACTTGGAAGCAATCGACATAGATCTGTCCAGAAGAAACAGAATAATGACAAGTTTGAAACAAAACTTAAACACTGCTCAGGCATCCATGAAAGCTTACAGTGACAAGAAAAGAAAGGCATGGGAGTTTAAAGAAGGAGATCTAGTATTACTGAAGTTACAGCCATACCGTCAAATATCATTGCAGAAACGGAGTACACAAAAGCTCTCACTGCGATATTATGGACCATTTGAGGTATTACAGAAGCTCGGACCGGTTGCGTACAAATTAAAACTCCCTGACTCCTCCAAGATTCACCCAGTGTTCCACGTGTCCCTCCTCCGACCCTTCGTCTCAGCGACGCCGTACAAAGCCCATCAGTTACCAACACAAACGAGGGACAACAAACCACTACACCAGGCAGTGGCCATACTTGGCGACCGAGAAATATGGAGAAGAGGAAAAAAAATCAAGGAGGTTCTTGTGCAATGGTCAGACTCCGCTCCAGAAGACTCCACTTGGGAAGAGGAGAGATCAATGTTTGGAGAAGACGTATCCAAGGAGACTGACGGGGTTTCCCATACATCTCCAACGCATCCATCAAACGCCACACCCCATGCCATTATGACACCACTCAATCATAATGACACCGCCGCTCCACTGCCCAATGCCGCTCCAATGCACACTACCCAACGGTCAGTAGCTCAGGCTGACTCACATCCAGACGTGCAGCTCACATTGAATGCTAGCGGATCACAAAATATCTCCATCCATGAGGACATGGATAGTTTAGATGGCCAAGGGGATGTAGCAGATCAGCCCACCACAGATAGGCCCAGACGTCAACGGCAAGCCCCAACACGTCTAATGGACTATGTCACATGACAGGCCCAACCATTAGTAGCATTTAATTTAGTTTCAATAAAATAGCAATTGCTTTATTAGAGAAAGTTGTTATTCCAGTACTTATTTTTAGGACTTAGTTGTTAATGCTTATTTTTAGGATGATACGTTCCTACCTTTCAGCAATTTGAATTCTAGATTAGGCTTTGCAATTCCTTTAAATATGAAAAATCAATCACTCAATGGCATGAGTTATTTGGCAAAAGTCTTATCATCTTCTCTCTCAACTCCTCTTTCTCCTTTCAAATCCCCTTCCTCCATCCCCCCTAATTACGCCCTTACACTTTTCATCTATTGTTCTTGTTTTCCTGATTATGTCATGCTAATTTTCTTTAAGTAGTTAGGGCGAGACGGAACCAATGGGTTCTTGAACGCTATTTGCCTTTCTTATAATTTATTTTCATGATTTAAAGTTATGCAATCAATCTGTTTCTTTTTTATTAGCTTTATTTATGAACTGATCACACGTAGGTCAACATATGAGTCGTGCATGACAATATGGACGTTGGTGTATCGATTCTGATTGGTTGATTGCTGGAATTTGTATGATCTAGGGATAGACTTATGAATTCTATAACAGTATGTTCTTGTGTTAATGCTTACTTTGTGAAAAAGTACTAAGAGATTAGACTTTTGAGTGGAGTAAAGGATTGGATTACCAAGAGATTGAGAGTTAATCGAATATAGAAAGAACTGTTAATAACTGGATCTTAAATGTAATTATAAGAATAGGTAAACTAGTTTGGAAACCATTGGAGAAGTTAAGTCCTAGCTACGTCTTTTATAAAAACTTAAATCCAATTTTCTAGCATTTATTAATTTTGAATTTAATTTCTTAAATATTGAAAATTAAAAATAAGTATTTTAAAATTCTGTTTTAATTAAATTAAAATATTCTCAAACTAATATTTCACGATCGATTCAACTTTAGTTAAATAGATAAATTAGTGCTTGGTCATCAATCCTCGTGAGATCGACAACTTAATTTTATTACTTTATTACTTGTACGACCGGTGCATACCGAAGTCGCAACAATAAGCATAAAAGGCTGTTATGGAAGTTCCACAGAGATAGGTTGAAAATCTTAAACACACGTGAGGACTTCTGTTCTTGTATTCTACTACATAGTTTGTTCTAGTATTAATTTTTAAGTCATGAAAGAATAAAAACCTTGTGGATAGTTTATTGAGGATATATATATATATATATATATATATATATATATATAGAGGTAAGATTCTTTGACACCAGTGTCAAATTTGAAATTTGACACCTTATCTAATAGTCATTAGATAAAAAAAGACCAACGACTCTGATTTATAAACATGTGACACCATTGATCTTTTTTGATCTAACGACTATCAGATGAGGTGTAAAATTTAAAATTTGACACTGGTATTAAAGGATCCTACCTCATATATATATATATATATATATATATATATATATATATATATATATATATATATATATATATAATCTAAGGAAAAATATTTTCTCATGTTGCATGAGAATTCAATTCTCATGTAGTGATCCTTCGATTTGCGTGCAATTTTTTTTTAATAAATGTGAGTCCCTCCACTAGTTAAGTCACAACATGAGAATTGCAACATGAGAAAATCAAATCTCATATTCTAAACCAAGACTTTTTGATCAAGGAAGCAAACACTTTTATGATGGAATACTGCCAAAAATAACAAACCAATGGAGTTTGCTACATAAGTGGTCACAATGTAAATATGCCAAAAATTCCATTGTGCATTTCATACAAGAAATGTCACTATTTTATCATCGATAATATCTCTTGAAATGTTCATTGAAATGTTCATTGAAATGGTCCACGGAGGTAGTGCATTGAGAGCATGAAGCCGGCCATTGTGAATAATTTAAGCTGCAAACTTAAACCCGTTGTCAGTTTCAAAGTCTTAAAGCAGAGTCCTATAAGAGACAAATCCAAATTAAGGACACGTGGATCATACAGCTCAAAAAATTTAGGACATGGAGGAAATATCAAAAACATAATTTTGGAATCAGTGGAACGAATAGAAGCGACAGACAACTACCAAAACAGGACATTTTGCAAAACTCTCACCAAAATGCCGCATTTTTTAATTTTTCACAAATAAAATTTGGTTATTGTATTAGCGGGACATTGTACTATTTCTTTAACATCTCTTGGCTTTACCAAGAACATAATTTTCTTTAAAGAGGTAACAGTAAAATTTTATTTTTTCAGAATTGTATTAGCATTGCCCTTAGCTCCAACATTCACCGAAAGGAAGGTGTCTCTTGAGAAGAATATAAAAAAATGCGGTTTTGTAGATTAAAAGTTTAAAACAAATGGCATTGGAGCTTACGAGGGATCAGGACATAGAAACGGACAAGAGTCTGTTTATTTGTTTTATGTATAAAAAGGGTTTTTCCTTAGGTACATAAAAAATGTTAAGAAGAGACTCAGACAGGAAAAATGGTGTCCAAATCTGTGGCCAACTCAATGCTTCTGCTGAGGATAGTTGCTCTTGCAGCCTCAGTAATAACTGTGGCCTTAATAGTTACCGACAATGTCAAATTTGATGATGGCACAAAGCTGAAATTCCAAGATATCCATTCATACAGGTAAAAAAATAAAAATACATACAATAAGCTAGTGTTGGTAATCATAGTCAATCATTCATGATCATGATCACAATTATCATTCTTTATGGAATAATTGTTTATATGATTAATTTAATGTTTTATGTTTAACAAAGAGAAAATAAGCTAGTAAAAATGACCTTAATTAGTTATTCAAAGCTTCTGTTATCTCATTTGTGTCATGTTTATGTCAAAACTGCAGCTATGTGCTGGTGGTTGCAGCAATTGCTGGAGCATATTGTTTAGTGCAGCTACCATTTGCCATATACTATGCCGTACAGCAGAAGAGGCTGATACGCAATGAATTCTTGCCAGAATTTGACTTCTATGGAGACAAGGTCCTGCAATTTCTTTATATATATGATGATATATACATATACACAATATTCAAAAAATATATTAAGGAACACCAAGATATTGGAAAATAAGTTACAAAAAGCTTATCACAAAATTATCACTATAGAAAAATTACCGACTTTTTCTTTCAAATATATATAGGAAAGCAAACTAGTAAGACGGTGAGCCTCGGGTAATAATAAAATTTCTTAGTTATGATTGAAAAGTAACGAGTTTGAATTTAGGAAATAGTCTCTTTTCTTTCTACATATGAAAATTTAGAATTCGAGATTCGGATAGTTATCGCTTCACACTTTCTTTTTTTTGTATACTACATATCGGTTCATTGATTATTGAATTAGTTTTATTCGAGCTGGTAGGATCATATGGGTTAACAAAGCTCTCCTTATCAAGTTTTAGTACAACTGAAAATATTCGAATTCAAGATCACTAATTAAGTTGAAACAATCCCTTATTAGTTGATCCATATACTTGGTGTTACAACTCCATTCTTTTATTCTATGTTATTCTACATATGTAAATACACGATTCTTTCCACAATAATTTATCGATAATCCAGATTTTTCCCGTAATATCAACTATAATCCTTATCTATGTAATGATCTTGAGAATTTCGCTAGATATAGAACAGGACTACAGAATTTCAAATGGTATTTGATGTTAATTTTATTTTTCCTTTTCTATTCTTTTATATTGAATATATATCCGCGTGAATTCAAAGAAATTAGGTGTATGAAATTGCAGGTAATTAGTCTGCTTCTGGCCACAGGCGTTGGTGTTGGTTTTGCAGTGTCTATTGAATTCAAGAAATTCTTCGACGACTTGTTCGATGGTTCGGGTGTTCCAAAGAGTGATTCTACAAGGTCCACAAACGACAAGTTTTATATTCGGGGGATTGTCGCTTCTGCTATTCTCCTTGTAGCATGCGTTGCCATGGCTGTCGTTTCAGTCATTTCCTCCATTAATCGACACAGAAGCAAAGGCGTTTTTCGGTGATATATTATTTTCTCAGCAACAAATCAATTGAATTAACTCAACTCCTAATAAAGCCTTGCTAAATTAATAGTTCATGTATTTTGGTTTTCTTCTTGCTATTTATCTTGGGCCATGCACAAAACATTATTTGTCTTCAATTATATTGCATCTATTTAAATTTCATATTTTCCATCCAATAATTACTAGTTAATTTCACGATTCAGCTTATATATGGACAATTATTCCTTTAGACTAATTGGAAATTGGTGTTAGATATTTTTCATTTATTATTTTAGAAAATATATTAATATATATGTACAAGTACGAATTACATAATTTACTTTTTTAATTTAGATTTTCAGCTTTTAGCAGAATAATTATATATACTATGCGGTGAATGGATTCATTTATAAATATATCACCAAATATCAATATTTATAACGATTTCTTTATTTTGAAAAATTGTACTTCCATTAATCTCTTTCAAATACAGAACAACTGCGATGAAGTGTTAGGACTTCAACAAGTAGACCGAATCGTATAAATAATAAAGTAATTTAATGTAAACTAAGGTTTACTTGAGAATTAAATATTTTAAGCATTAATTCATTTCTTTAACTCTATTTGAATAAGTACATATAAATTGAAGAGGGTTTTAAATAATAAAGTCATGAATAAAATACAAAAATAAATTTCAGTAATTAAATAAACTGTAATCAATTACAAGATTTCTCAATCAACAAGATATTTATGGTTTGATTTCTTTTAATTACTCCTTAAAATAATCCAGATATAATCCAATTCAATTCTTTAACATTCAATCAAATTCATTCTAACATATTCAAAATTTTAATAAATATTTTGAAAGAATCTCATATGTCTTTCATTACTTAACAAAAGACTTATATTTATAGGCACACAAAAGGTATATACAACATATGTAGAATAAGAATTAATATCTACGATATACAAAAAAAAAAGAATTAATATCTACAAAATGACAATCAGATATCCCTCCTATGTATGTTATGAAATGTGGCTTGCAAAATTAGAATTATTTATCATGCTAGAAAATGTTTTTTTTTCGACGGAAAAATTCTGTCGAAAATGGTTAAAATTCCGTCGAAAATAATGTTTTCGACAGAAATGAAGCCGTAAAAAATATCTTCGTGGGTAACAATTTTTTCGACGGAATTACAGATTCCGTCGAAAAATTTCGACGCAATAATTTCTGTGGAAAGTTTCGACGAAAAATAATTTCGTCGAAAAATCTTGTAATGATCTTCGACGGAAAACAAATTTCGTCGAAAACTTTCGACGGAAACTGAATAAAATTCCGTCGAAAAATCTTGTAATGATCTTTGACGGAAAACAAATTTCTTCGAAAACTTTCGACGGAAAATGAATGAAATTCCGTCAAAAAATATTGTAATGATTTTCGACGGAAAACAAATTCCGACGAAATTTTTCGATGGAAAATGAATGAAATTCCGTCGAAAAACAAATTTCGTCGAAAACTTTCGACTGAAAATGAATGAAATTTTGTCGAAAAATCTTGTAATGACTTTCGACGGAAATGAACGAAATTTCGTCGAAAAATCTTGTAATGATTTTCGAATGAAAACTAATTCCCTCGAAAATTTTCAATAAAAAATTAATATAATTTCGTCAAAAAATCTTGTCTCAATTTTCGACGAAATTGTTTTTTCATTTGTTTATCTACAAAATCAATATTAATTTATGTTTCACAACTGATAAACAAATATAATTAAAGTAACATATCAAAATTATTTGATCTTACTATAATTTATGTGTATTAAAGTCCCTGTCATATACAAATCAAAAGAGACTTATATATATAAATGTCCAAGACATATACATAAACAAAAGTCCCTGTCATATACTAATCCAAAGAGTCCTATATGAGTAAATGTCCAAGACATATACTAATAAAAAAAGACATACATATACAAAAGTCTCTATCATATACTAATCAAAAGAGTGCTATATATATAAATGTCTAAGACATATGCTAATCAAAAGGGACATACATATACAAAAGTCTCTGTCATATACAGATCAAAACAGTCCTATATCTATAAATATCCAAGACATATACTAATGAAAAGGGACATACATATACAAAAGTCCCTGTCATATACTAATCAAAAGTGTCATATATCTATAAATGTGAAAGACATATGCTAATCAAAAGGGACATACATATACAAAAGTCCCTATCATATACTAATCTAAAGAGTCTATGTACAATAGTCTATGTCATATATATCCAACAAAGATACAAAAGTCATGCTGGTGGATGACTTGCATGATCATAGTCATCACCTAGGTCCTGAGACGGGGGCTGAGTCTCGTCGTCATCCTCAGTATCTAAAAATGCCTCAGGAAGCCTTCGCAAAAGCTTCTCCATTTTGTCTGTTCGCCTCTGCATCATAACCATGAGACTATCCTGTTGCTGACCTTTTTCTTCTGCTGTACAACCTTCTCTTGTTGTTGTGCAACCCTATCCTCTTGCTGTGCAGCCCTCTCCTTTTGCTGTGCAGCCCTCTCCTCTTCTGTGCAACTGTACCCTGCAACTGCATAATCAATGTGTGCATCCTGTCATGCTCTTGCTGGGACACTCCAAGTGGTAGCCTATTGGAGAGTCGAGATTTCTTATATGCTCCTGCCCGTGTACCTAAACCGTATACCCGTCCTTTACGGTTAACCCCACCAGATGCCTGCATAATCAAATCATTATCCGAGGCAACACTGCTAGCATCCTCTCCTGGAATGACTTGATTGTCTCTCTCTTCCCTAAGTCTCGTAAAGCCATCCTAAAATTTACATAGAAAGTATTGATGTGTTAAAGTCAGGTGCACTAAAACTAATCAGCTTTCGAAAGTAAACATTTGGTGTAACAATAGATATTACCCACAACTGTTGCCTTTGCCTTGTCATTGCACCACCTGTCACGATCATCTTTAGATGTGTGTGTATGCTTGAACACAGCCCAATCCAGGGCAGACGGATCTGTGACCCCATCTTCTTGCTGCGTATATATGTACATAAAAAAATCGAAATATAACACACTAAGTATAAAAAATGGCTTACCATTTTATGAATCTACATGCATATGAAAAATTGTAAGTATTCTTACCAACCGCCTTGCATGCTCATGAAATGGAATTGAACCTCCAGAATGTGAAGGTCCGTCAAATTTGGACTTGTTCCTCTTATTTTCTTCAGCCATTTTCTTCCATTTTTCATTAGACCAGTGAACCTTCAAACCATCAAGAACATTTTGTCTCATCCAAGACGTATCGCCCTTTCCTTTTCTTATCAAATTCAAGTGATTTCTGATTATGTCAGTGGCTTTGGTCTTGTATGCTTTATCAAAAAGATATTGGTCATCCCGCAAGTATTTATATTTTTCCTACAAGGATGAAACAAGACAATTTAGAAAAAATATCAACATTAGCTTCAAAAACCTTGAATCTTACATAAATATTAATATGGTCAGATTTGAAGGGCAACATTACCATCAATGAGTTAAACCAGTTCTCCTTGACATTGGTTGGAACTACCTTATATGTAGGGTATGGACCGTCATAGTTGCGCTTGATTATACCCCATATTTTGCACACTACATCACATGGTTCAAAGCTGAAATAGATTGTTATTTGATTATACTTATCAATGCATTTAAATTATTGTCAACACTTATATGAAGATGTATTGAAAAAATATCACAACTACCATTAATATTTCTTGTACTTACTTGCTTTCATCGACGGTCGGTCGTACCCATATACGATTGTCCACAGGATCTTTCTCCCCCATCGTGGAACAAGATCCTGGATGACAGGCGGAGGTGGTCCATAATATGGAGCCTCTGGTGGGGACGGAGCGTGATCTTGTTTAACAAAAACAAGAGATAAAGATAAATTTTTTTCCAATAATCAAATTTGAACATAAATTTTTTGGAATCTTACCATTTATTGTTATGCGTGCCATCGTTAGCCATTAAAAACGTATATGTTTGTTTTAAGCTTTAATGAATGCATGTTGGTGTAAGGTATCAAGTATCGGGCTAATCTCCCTTAATACAGAAATTATTAAAGCATATTGTTATAAGGTTATCGTTAGCTCTTTAAAATTAGGGCTAGTTTAAATTTCTCTGTAAATGATCAATTAATAACTTGATCTCACTCAAGATTTTCTGAATGACTCAAATTGCTTCTAGCCTTTGGTTCAAAGTAGATAAAAAAATAATTATTATTCCAAATGTAAACATTACCCACTCCATATCAGTAAATGTGACTCATACATGATTATTGATTCTAAACATATCATAAAACAACAAACACCAACAGCAGATACATAACTTGCAGGTCCTAGTCAGGCCCAAGGCTGAACGTGTTCCTTAATATCTTAGTGTTTAACTTAAACTTGCCAAGTTTAAGCTTCACATAGGAGTCCTTCACGGGTAGGTCTGTGGCTTCTAATATAAACACATATAGCCTCAACATTTTATAATAAAACTTGGGTCTTTACAACTTCCAAGACATAAAGCAACAGAGTAGGAGAAAATGGTAGCCCACAGCGTCATCATGGGTAGTTCCCATTATGATGCTATTTTATAAACATAAAGCAGGTAGTGGTCATTAACCGAAAAACTCAGAGTGATCTCATACGAAACATTATGCCTATGACATACCAGAACTTTGATTTGGCACGTACCTCGTTGGCAGCCCACAACGTCATCCCGTAGATGTTATGATGCAAATTGGTTTCATTGTGAAGAGCCCTCTTAACAACCTATTACCGGTGAAAATGATTCAACAAAAAAAAAATAAACAAAACAAAAAACTCATTACCTTCCATTATCAGAGATGGGGATTGTCAAGAAGAAGAAGGAAAAAATTAAGCTTACAAACAGAGGTGGGCTATGGTGTTCGAAAATGTGGCAGGATATTGAAGTTGAACCCTAAATAGAAGAGAAAATGTCGTGGGAAATA